TTGCGTAAGTCCATAAGGACATTTAGTAAACCATTTAAATATAGCACCTTCTTGAAGATCACTAATTTGAAGAAGTTTCCTAAATAAAATTAAATAAATAATAGATAATATAAAAACAGCAATTGAAGATGGGATTCCTGTGTGATATTGGCCGTGAGAGGCTCAGTACTATAACATATAGTCACACATGTTTCACGTGTTTTTCATTCTCACTTTTAACTTTCACAAAACGAGGATTAGAAGCGGAAATTTTGATCGATAAATGCTTTGTTTCCTGTTCAAAAATCATTTTACCACCGTAYCATGGTATTTCCGAGGTCAGAGAAGAAATGTCTAACGGTCTTATGCTTTAGTTTGTTGTTTTTAAGTGGTTTCCTGTTCTGTCCAACTTCTTCTTCTCCGGAGTTCAAGAAAGGTGTTAATGGCGGAGTATACTGTGCTGCTTGTACTGCTGTAGCAGCTTTAACTAACCAACTAAGCGTCATACATAACGAGACGTTCGTCAAGTCGTTTGACAGACTGTGTAGGCTTCTGCCAGAACCGATATTCAAGAGTGCTTGTGTTGCTTTGGGAAATTACTATATTCCTCGGATTGTGCAGATTCTGACTAAAGATGTGACTGCAGATGTCATTTGTCACGCTATTGACCTCTGCTACACAGAAAAGGGGCAGCCAACATGCAAGGGCTTTCCTCCTAGAGGAAATTTTGACTCTATCCTTAATGAAGCAAAAAGGAAAATTGCTATCGCACAAGCCAAGGGGAAAGTAAAAATACAAGAGAACCCAAAATCTCCACATTTTGACCCTTGTGTCCTTCCTGGTGTCAGAGAACTTTGTCACCTGTTTAAGAGAGTATTTGATTCTCATCATCCTCTTGTTGATTATGATAATGATTACTTTAGTCCTACGGTTGATGCTTGGCGCGGCACTTCCTGGCGTGGGAGAGACTGTGATGATTTCAACCCTGATGTACGCCCTGGTGCTATTGACCAGGGAGACATTATCCTGGACACTAACTGTAATGGAATTTGGGGAATTCATGATCTACTCACCATGCGAACCAATGAAGAAGTTCTTTGCAAAGGTATATTTTTCTTGTTTTCATAGCTGTCATCTTGATTAAATGTAACAAAAGTCAGATCATTAGTCTCTTGTCATATCAACCAGCATAGCCACCATTTGTTTCATAATTTTATTCTCTTGGAAATGAATGTTTGAAAACCACCAATGTCAGCTGTTTGGTAAAGCCTTGATTTTATCTATTTTAAAATATTTGTCTGCAAATAACAAAGTGGAATAGTACTGATATAGTTTTGGATCATTTTGATGGTATCTAATCAGTTTGATGGTTGATGTTTTACAGATACTGGGTATCAAGGTTTAGTTGTCCTGGGAGATTCAGTGGCTGCTCATTTCCATCTTCCTCCTCAGTGGCTGACAGCTTCAGAAATCAAAGAGTCAGTGTTTGACGAGGCCCCCTTTGTTGTCGGAAATGAAGTTGATTGGCCACAGCTTTCATTGTACACTGGTCATTACAATGTCTCAAGGTGAATAGGCAATTTTATTTAGTGCATTAAGGATTTTACAATTTGGGTCCTAACTGGGACCCCATATTTGGTCAGTTAGGGTCCCACTGTAGAGCATATTTTTTCCATTTCCTCTTTGAGCATCCCCTTGTGAGTTCCCTTGATCATAGGAAAGTTTCTTAATTCTTGACTAACTTTAATCACAGATAATATGCATGTGCTAAGGTAGCAATTAACAATTTAATTTTCTTTGTTAGGTGGAAACTAGAAAAGGGAAATTGCTCTTCGCTTTACTTAAAGCTTTTCAATCGAAATCACTGCAATCACCGTGACTACCAAAACCTTGCCAAAAATGGAGCAGATTCCTTTGATGTCAATAATATCCTTCTCAAGTCACTCAACCGCAACAAGAAAACAGATCAACCAGTGCTTTTATTTTATTCATTAGTTGGAAATGATGTCTGTAATCATTGGCATGATTTTGATCACATGACTACCCCCGAGCAAATGAGAGCCAATCTTCAAAAGACCTTAGATACACTTGACAAACAGCTACCTAAAGGAAGCCATGTTATTGTCGTTGGAATGGTAGATGGCCGAGTATTGTATGATAACTTACACAACCGAATTCATCCAATTGGAAAACTGCGAGGTGATGTTACATACTCCAAGTTTTATGACTTCTTAAACTGCCTTGATATATCTCCGTGTTATGGTTGGATGAACAGTAACGAGACAGTCAGGAACTTTACATCTGAGAGAGCATTTGCCTTGACTGCTGTCATGAAGGATGTTGCAGAGAAGGCTAAATATGAAAGTTTTGACGTGTTCTTTCTAGATAACCCATTTTATGAGGTTATTAAGGTGGGCAATACATACTTTCATAGTTAGGTGCAGGCAGTGTATTATAGGAAGTGAATTTGTATCAAATTCATGGTTCTGCCCCCCCCCCCCCCTTAATTACTGTTGCTATCATGTCACACAAACTCAACAAATTATCTAGAAAATCTAAGAATTCTCACCCTTTGTCTCGCTTCGATGCAAAGACTTGGCTACCTTTCAAGATGGCGCAGGGATTATGAAAGGGACTATTGTTTACTGTCCTGTGAAAATAAGAGAATATTGACTTGTATTTCTGTACAGAGAAAACCTCATTGAGCCACCTTAATTCTGTTTTTGTTATTGTTGTTTTCTTTAAGGAATGGGTTGCTGGAGGCCATGAAATCTGGGAGCTTATAGAACCCTCAGATGGGTTTCATCCAAGACTGATAGCGGAGTCATTAACAGCAGATATAGCATGGAAGATCTTGGAGTCAAAATTGCCGCATGTGTTGGGAAAGATAAATCCAAATAATGACAAAATAGTGGAGATGTTTGGAAACCAGGGAGGATACTAAGTCTATAACAGGTATTTGAATTAAAAATAAAGTCTTACAAAAATCAAATAGTAATATTTGATATAACTTATGGATGGATTGATTTATGGAAGAAAATCGTAACAATAGAGTAATTAATGGGTTAATTAATGATGATTGCTTTATGAGTTAATTAAATTACTTTATCCACCTTTCAGTTTTGAATGATCCCATTTTAAATATAAAAGCCTTTGCAACATATTAAGCCATAGCTTTAATTAATATAGTTGGAAATTATATTAATTAATATATAATGAATTATATGCTATATTTTTTTACTATTTTGTAACCCAATTCCTAGTATACTTTTTTGATTTTGTATGKTTTTTTTTAATACTTGTACACACATCGTAATTTATTTATATGTGACAGTGTAAATGGACTATTATAACATATACTGTCTAGTCAAATAACAGCAAATGTACAGRCAATTTCACAGGATTTCAGAATTGACATTGTTGTTTGTATGGTGTTAACTGTGGGATCTGCTCATTTGCTCATCGATGACATTGTGAACTTGTAATGATATTAATATAACATTAAATAAAGAGTTTGTATAAAAGAATGTACCCACGAATATGTCATTAATCTATTTGGTTATTCAGTATCACACGCTGATCTGAGTGGTGCAGATATAGTAATGATGCCACTACAAATATGAGTTGCATGAAGCCTGCATAAATTGACCACAACAGCATTAGAGAGAGAGAGAGAGAAGGGAAGGGGGGGGGGGGGGGGGCTATACCTAGTTACAATAGTAAGACAATTGGTGCTAATTAATTGAACAAAAAGTGTGCAAGAGATTCTGGTAGTAAGCTGTTGTAGTCAATGACACGATCATGTTTTCTATAAAACAAAAGAATTGCATGCTCATTTGCAGTTGGTCTATTCATATCAATCTTACAGTCAGTGTTTAAACGCTCAAAGGTGTGCGCGTGTCAGTTTTACAACAATACAGTTAATAGCTAGTGCTTGTCACTTTGTCCATCTTTCATGGTTCTCTTAAAAGCTGGCACACTAATAAACTTCTTCCCTCGAAGTTCTTTAATGTCCATATTAGGCATATCAATTGGTACAAGCAGCCTGTTTCCATAGCGATATGCAAATCTGATGTCTAATGGTGCGCCCTTGGATTTTAAGTCTCTGATTGCTTGCATTCCTGGATAATTCTGAGATGAATACCTTGCCTTGTTAAATCTAGGATTGATGAATGTTTTTGTTGCTTGGAGATGTTGGGCTGGCAATGTCTTGTATGATGTTTTTCCTGGTTGCAAGTACATGGCCCTTTGTTGGAAACTCAAGGTATTCTTCAAGGATTCACCTTTGGCCCCCAAAGGTAAATTTTGCAGGCCTTTGCTGTTCTTGGGATGAGCTTTGCTATATGCCAGTGATATTTTTTTAAGATAAGCCTGTAAATTTTTGAGATTGTACTGGATTTTCGTACCCTGTTTGAATCCTTTTCCATAAAGGGGGTTCTGCAAGGCTCCATACTTGGGCCCATAAATATAATTAGATACTTTGGGACTTTTTGGGCTTGCAATAGAAGGAAGTGATAGTCTCTGGCCAGTTAGGTGAGGAACATGTTTCATATTGTTTACGACAGCTTTTCTAGTTCCACAGCACTCTTGTGGGCAGCTCACTGAACAAAACTCAGCACAGTCATCTGAACAGTCCGGGGTCACAAAGTAACCTGGCGTGCTGCAGCATTCCGGTGTGCATTGAGGATAGCACGAAAATGGACACGTTGCCGGACATGAATAACCTTGGTTCGAATAACTGACTTCCGGTTGACTTACTTCCGGTTGTTTAACTTCYGGTTGTTTAACTTCCGGTTGTTTGACTTCCGCGTGGCTTACTTCCGGTTGCGACTCTTGATGATTGACATCCGATTGCAGCGCGTCTTGCTGGAGGCTTGGTTGTTTATTCCAGCAACACTGCTCAGTACATTGTGGTAAACAAGATGAGTCGCAGTTACCCGGACATGTTGATGGTGGTGGTGGCTGTAATGGTTTAATGTAATGATGATGATGGATTGTTGTTGTAATAGGAGTGGTATGAAAGGAGCAACAGCTCACTTGACAACCGGTTGGGAAGCACTGCGTTGGGTTCGAGCACGGTTGTGGACACTGGCTTTGCAATGCTGGCTGGTGTGGACGAGTTAGTTTTAGGTATCCATATGGTAGAGTACCTGCGAAACAAAACCCAAGTTAGACTCAGTTCTGAAGTTACATCTGGCATGTACAATGCTTAACAAGAGCACGCGCGGAGTCCATCAAAGTGTTTTCACGACATTCCCGATAGCAAGTATCCTTGAACACTTTGCAGTCTGACAATGTGATGCAAACACTTCACTGACGTCGACCAAAACCTTATTTCATCACGAACAAACATTTTAAGATTCCTTGCGTGCTTGAGAAGCACTGTTAAAGCAGTCTAACGATTCTTACCAGCCGCAACATAATCACGCGATATGTCGAGTTCTCCTAGTTTCCCCATGGCAACAGCTGACGTCAGTTTGTCGAGGTGACCTGGGCCTTCCCTTGCGAAGATCAGTCCAATAGTAGCAATGACACTTCCATTGCTAAAATTACGAGGGRAAAATATTGTGTTTTTACGACTTCTTAATAGGTTCACTGAATCTTTCTGCCGCAACATCAGGTGTTTTACGGTCCACTCATCATTTGGCTTCAATAAGTTTACAAATAATTATATGAGCAAAGTATTGCGCACTAATCTCTGCACGTAACTGCAAGGAGTATAAAGAGTTAAATACCGTAATGATGAAAGCTGTACTTCTTGAAACTCATCGTCATCTTCGTAAAGCTGCAGGATCTGACAACAAAAATGAAATAGCTTTAGCCAGATCCACACTAGTGCATATGCACATTCGTAAAAAGAACGGAACGTTTTGATTCCTTGTGCTTACCCTTATGGTACGCTTATGTCTTTAGTGCCTTTTTTATATATCTTATATATCTTATACATCTTTATGGTTATTCTGATCACTAATATTACTTCAAGGCAGTACTTACCGCGGATGTTATTGCGATTCGAATCTCATCAAACTCTTTACTCGATGGGTAAGCCATCTTTTCCGTGTACTGAATCTTTGGAAACCGTAACTCTACTTTAAAATCCTTGCCTGAAAATGAATACCAATATTTTCAGTCTTTATTTTACATCTATTTCGAAAAACGTTTGTCCTATTCAAAGGACATAGGAGATAGATCATTACGAGATTCAAGAATAGCTGAGATACCTTCAAGGAAACGGAGGTTATTGATATATTGTGGTAAAAAATCTCGATTAATTATGTTTAAATGCATATTTGTAATTTCTTTTGGTCTTGAAATAACCTAAGGGACATTAGCCTATCACCCATGCCCTTAAGCTCCGAGAACCATTCTTGAAACAGGTGTATATAAGCAACTAGATCAGTCAGTACAACACTGATTGTTAATAATATATATTTCTGTCTGTCTCACCAAATTTCGGAGGTTTCACTTTCATTCCCGCCGTAGCATCTGCTTTGGGTGGAGAACCCGGGCTCTTGTTGTCATGACTACTAGACATTGATTGATCGTTACCATTGTTTCCATCTGGTTTAAGAGCAGCGAGTTCCATAGCAACATCTTTACCAGAATTATTTTTGTTGTCATTACTTTTAACGATTGACGACGAAGACGAAGACTGGGAAGACAAAGACGAAGAAGATGGTTCTTTTTCGCCCAAACTTGAATCGGAAGAATTTCCTGTTGTCATGGGAACTGATGAATCAGGAGCTTTTGTTGTTGTTATGGTGATAACAGGCTCAGAGCTGGCATTGTCATCAGGTTTGTGAGAAGCTTCGTTTTGTGAAGTTGCTGTTTCTTCTGGTTTGTCTTCTGCAGTGAACATGTCTTGAGGATCTTCTTGATTGAGGGTAAGAACAACTGAAACAACACACAATAAACCTCATTAATTAACATGGCTAATGTTTTTAGCACTGTTTTTTAGCTGTTTTTGTTTTGAATCTCCTGGCACCAGCATCGCTGTTTTTTAACCTGCGTAGCGGCCGCGGCGCTAATCCCCTAGAGCGCAGTTACGCAGGCTACTTTTTTTTGCTATTTTTGCCTTGTCTTACTTAATGCTGTTGTTTTTGCTGTTGTTGTTAATGCTTCTGATAGTATATTTTTATTGCGTCTGTTCGTTCGTTTTGTCGTTGCTCTTGCTGTTTTTGACGTTCGTCAGTGAATGTACTAAATGTAATGACTTTTAATTAAGAATATGTAAACCGACTTCCAAGCATTTTTAGCTTTCTAGTTATTTTTGGAAGTTGGTACCCTTCAATCTGTTTAATATAAATAATGTATCAAATTAGAAAATAATGTCATAATGGGTACAAATAAAGTTCTTCTACTGTTCTTGCCGTTCTTTGACTCGTCTATTGTTGCTATTACTGATTTTGTTGTATTGTTTTCTATTCCAGTTTTTATTACTGCTACGGTTGCCGATTGATATGCGCAGTTTTTCGCCTGCCATCTAAAACATTTCATCACCAAACTCAATCAACAAACCATCTGGATTTCCCTTGGGAGTGTAGCGAGCTACCAGAAAGAAATTCCCTGATTTACTCTTCGCTGTTCCGACACCAAGTTCTTTGGTCTTCTTCCACACGAGTTGACTGAAGTGATCTAGAAAATGAAAACCACATCACTTGAATAACAAGAGAATACAAATCGGAAAGCCCATTGGAAGAATAGCCAAGAAAGTGGCTATGGTGACACATAGTTAAACATCTTGTTCAGAACAAGCTTCTTGCGCAGAACAAACCAAAATAATGAAAATAATTGATAATAATGATTAATAATTACCTGTGTTTTTGTTTTCCTGCGGAWTTTTCAAGTCATAATTCTTCAGTTCCGAGTACCAGTTTTCCACGGCTCTGTCACATGCCTCAGAGGGGTCTCCACCGTACATATAGAAGATATTCTCTCCTTCTTGTGTGGTTGGATCTCTTTCCATCTGGTCAATTGCTGCTAGATGGTTGGCCCAATTCTGAGCCTCCTCTGCGAGCTCACCGGACCATTTCAAGGGTGGTGCTCCATGCCGGGTCCTATATTCATTATGGGCTTTCAGGCAGCTGTTTGAAAGGGCCTCTGGGTCGGTGGCAAGAACTACAAGAGGATTATTAATGTAAGTAAAAAGGTTTAAGAAACGCAGGTTTTTACCAAGTTAGTTAAATACGCTGAAATAACTATTTTTTCAAGTGAGGTGTCTTCTTTGTTTAAGACCGCATTGACTACGAAGATAAATAATCATGGGCACATTCATGGAGGCGTTGTTTTGTCGTTTACTGTATGCCACCCTTTATATTGTTATATTACCGCTGACTAGCAGCACAGTAGACTCTTCACTTGATTTCTCTTACTCACTCAATCTTATCCATAGCTGTCCAAAAACCTTATGACACTTAACGCGCGAATACATCACGATTAACTCGCGGTTTACGCACGAATAAACCACGACATTCGCCATTGTTCTCGTATATAAATTCATTGAAATTCTGACTTCGAAATGTCTTACTTTTATTTGACATTAAATCAAATATTCTGAAACATAATCAATCACGATCATGTGTTTTTTATTTTCATAACGTTAAGATATATATTTTTTTAATTAACGTCAAGAAAATGTGTCCGTGTTCGTCACTTATTAGTCACAAAACAAAGGTGCACTCTCAATTGAGAACTAGTTAAWATATATATATTTTTATCGTAAATAGTTATTTGACAGACAAACCGTCTAAGAACAGGATCAAAAAGTTTTTGAATYTTATATGCGATCCTTTCGTGAATGTAGTATTCTATAGGAAGTTCTAAGTGTGATTAAGTTAATTGAAATACTTGAAGTTGCAGTAAAAATACAAATGTTTGGAATACCTTTTACGAGTGATCCGGTGAAGATCGATAGCAAAAGTAGAAACATTGCTCACGTTCAGGGGACAAATTGGAACGAACCGCAACAAGTTATGTACGTAGCTAGCTATCACTACACAAGAACAGGTTACACACATCAATTATGAACGTTCTTTCCACCGTATTGCCCTGGGATTACTGCACCTGTAGATTTCATGACCTTCAAACCGGTTTACAATAAGAAGATTAATCGTGCGTTACCGTTTGTGTGAACAGATTGTTTTTGTTACAAGTAGATTGTTTATGTAGTCTACTATTAACCCTGACTTTGACCAGCCCAGAGGTGGTTTCGAGGCTCGGTCTGTGAGTTAGCCATGCCCTGACTTAGATCAGTCCAGAGGTGGTTTCGAGGCTCGGTCTGTGAGTTAGCCATACCCTGACTTAGATCCGCCCAGAGGTTGCTTAAGAGTTCAATCTGTGAATTAGCCTTGCCCTGACTCATGCATATCAGCCCAGAGGTTGTTTCAGGGTTTGATCTGTGAGTTAGCCATGCCCTGACTCATGCAGATCAGCTCAGAGGTTGTTTCGGGGTTCAACGGACCTAGGATTTAGCTGTGCCCTGACACTGAAAATTAATTTATCTCGCACTTCGGAATTTAAGGCCCGAATCTCAGAATTCGAGATTAAATATGAAATTTGGGATCCAAAATGTGACATCCGAAATCTAAGATTCTAACCGGAATTCAACATGCGAAATTCGGAATAAAAAGCATGAAATGCGCAATTATCGAAGAGACGAAATTTCAAAAATCTAAAGTTTGGAATCCGTARGTAGATTAGGCCGCGGGTCGTAAATATCGAAGGCGCAGATATTTTGGCACGCTGGACATAAATATCGAAGACGCGCAAATTGAACAAAACTTTGTAGTGGGATCCCTGTTGTTTTTGACGGGTCGATAAATAATGAATAAAGAAAAATCTAAAGAAAAAAGAATAACAAGAAACTGATATCACTTCTATGATTATTTATTTTCTCAAGAAACAAAAAACATTTCTTGAAGTCCGTCGACATGGTAATATTTTCTTCGCTAAAGGAAAGAACGTTCTAATGGAGACAAGTCTACCATATCTTATTTCATGGTTCGTTATGTTCTCGTCCTTGCAACATCGTAAGTATAAAGACAAGCTACCAGTAACCCTGTTCTGGTTGGGTAAATTCTAATTGCTTTCCAGCAGTCTTTTTGTTTTGTTTTGTCTCTTGTAAAGTCTAAACAAACCTTTCAARTGTTGAGAATTTAACCAGAAAATGGGTACCAAAGTACTCTGAAATCTATGATCTTTTGTTCAGGTTTAACGCGAGTATTTCTCTTCTAGTGGTTACAGGAAAACATTGATTTCTTTTCATTTTTTATGATATTTTGTTATTTTCACACCTTAACAGAATAGAGGTTGGAGATTTTCTAGCCAAAATATTCGTGTTTTTCACAATTTATTTTCCCATTTCATGGTTGTGTTTTGCTGTTATAGTATAGTAACAGTCACCTTGGTAACTTAGGTCTGGATATCTCACCTCTGGGCAGGGACTCGGCTTAGATTTGTGCTCGATTCCTTGGATCAGCATCGCATATGAGTAGGGTTTGTTAGGGCTCTCACTTGATTCGAAGGGGTTTTCTCTGCCGGGATTCTCCGGAGCCGGTTTTCCTCCCTCCACAAAACCTAATACGCTAAATTCCAATCCGATCTGTGAGTTGCCGTGTCGTAATTTTCCCATTTCATCATCCCATTTCAGGGTATCGATAAAATTTGAAGGGAAACTACATTTATGTTCACTTGAGTAAAAAAATTCCGTCAACTATCCAGTCAATGGAGACCTGCCCCTCGAAACAAGCATGGGTGCTTAATGTGAAATTAATGCGAAATTATAAAAACATTTAAATAGCGTATTAAACGTCCGGACAATTCAGTTTCAGACGTGCGAGGAATGCCCGCTGGCGGTGCTCTCCCACCAGGGATCGGTGCAGTGGTGAGTATTTATCCTAAGGGAGGGGAGGGTTAGGACAAAACACCACATCAAGTGGCCAGGGTGGTTCTTGAAGTTGTTACTCATACATTTTAGTAAACCAAATTTTCTAAGCATGCGCAGTTTGTTTTACAAGCTTTCTTCTCACTGTCCATCCACAGAGAAAAGTTATAGCTTGTGAAGATCAAAAGGCTTACATCACATGTGCCAACATATTCAACAGCATTGATATCGTGTCAGCCATGTTTGGCAGGAAGGACCCCATGGTGTGTCTTACACCTGGACAAGATCCTGCCTCCCCCTGCACAGAACAAGAAGAACAAATAAAACAAGAAGTGAAGGATCTGTGTCAGGGAGAGAACAAGTGCGAGGTGTCTGCGTCAAATGATCTACTTGCTATGGAGGGGACAGTCATTTGTCCTAATGTAATGAAATACCTGGAAGTCAAATATAGGTGCGTGAGTGATGTTTGTGACGTTGCATGGGTAGAATTCGTTAATGAGGGACATAGTTTAAACCTTGGTCCAAAATAGAGACCCAACTTTTTTACATGATGGGTGTTATAAAGTACCCTCAACCCTGTTGAAATACTGGGTGTCTATAGTAACTATTCGTATACACTAGTATACATGCAAACAGACAGTACCTTTATTTCTGCGATTTGACTTTTAGTTTTGGAGATATTTGAGGACAAAATCTAGGATATCATTTCCAGAGGTGATCGGTACCGAGTAACCCCACCCCTCCCCTCTAAGTCAGAGCCTGTAAGATGACAATYGTTATCCTTGACGTTGACCTTTTCATATATCGTTGAAGGTGTATGCCGAAAACAGCTATCGCTGAAAACGAAGGCGAAGTAACAACTAATGCAGTGACCGAATTAGTCGGTGGCGCAACGTCATCGGCTTCTTCATCATCATCGTTATCATCAAACGAAGCTGAAGTCGTAACATCAATATCATCCTCTGCTTCCGCATCAGCATCAGCTTCGTCATCATCATCATCATCATCATCATCATCATCATCATCATCTCCAGAGTCAGAAGTACAAGTGCTTCTCGATTCTTCTCCTGTCACCCGATCAGAGAATAACGTAGTTGAACAACTGGGAGTCGACCAATCACATTCATCCCCCCAGACCTCTCAAGAAGTTACCGAGTCCATGGCACAAATGGCGCACAACGATAACCGCGCGGAGGAGATGGTATTATCCCCAAACTCCATCGCTGAGACGATTAAGAAGTCCAAAATTGAACAAGTACCGGAAGAGACTGAGAGCGAGATCGAAGAGAAGGAAGAGACGAATGGATCTGGGATAGATGAAATGGACGAGGGAAGCGGTTATATGTATTAAATTACATTTCTATATGTATATTATATATCTATTATTCATATTATTAAGTATTATTTGTATGTTGGAGAAATAAAGATTTTCTTAAAATAAACTCTGTGACATTTTTCTTCAAAAAGATTCTTTGTGAGAAGAAATAAAAACTGTTGGTCTCGACCTTTTTTGCTCCAGTTTTAGTAACCAGGCCTGAATGTGTAACCAGGCCTAGTTTGTGATCGAGGCTGTAGTTTATTGAGTAGTGCACAGTTGTATAAAGAAAATATTGTCTGCTGAATGGATGATATTTATCGGTGCAAATGTAATGTCCTCGACAGGCTAGAGTACACACTCTATCGGCACCACTGTAAATATGTAAAGCATTAAAATTTGTCTTTGCGAAATTACGAGTTCTCGAGGCTTGGTACCAAAGTCAGACCACAAAGCATCGCGCTCCTATGATTACTCGTACGTAGCAGTAAAATGGCTTCCTATTGTTCTTTAGCATCCAACACAAGGCATACAGGGAACAGCGACACACTTTACAAGATTTTGTGTAAATTCTTACAATAAAAAATTCTACATTAGCGAGAGTTATTTTATATAAGCCTTTTCATAGTTTAAGAATCGATTCCACTGCGCATGCGATTTTATCCCGATTTTCTCACCTTCTTTTGTTTAATTAAGAACAAAAGAAGGTTTAGACAAAAGAAAGTGAGAAATTCGGGATAAATTCGCATGCGCAGTGGAGTCGATTCTTAAACTATGAAAAGGCTTATTGTGTACACTCAGATATAAAAATTAAGATGCTGCCTTCCTCTCTTTTTTTCGCTACTTTTGAGGATTTCTGGCAATCAATCTGAATAAGTTCAACTCATGTATTCACCTAGTTTAAGAGGTTTGCTTACCCGCCAAAACGACTTGTTCTTACCACCACCCGTCGATCTTTCTCCCTAGGTCGTTACCATAGCAATGCCACGCATGAATGACATAATTGTTATCCTTCTAGTGTTAACGAAACCATTAGGTCTGAGCGTCCAAGAACTGTCCAAATTTATGGATTTATTTTGATTTCATTTTATTGAAATCAAACTCTTAGAATTCATCTGTGGTAAGTAAGCTTCATCTTTTATTTTMTTTTAGTTTTTTCCCTTTTAATTCCCTTCCTTTTATATTTAATTTTGTACCATTGTAAATCTGTCTTTCAATATTAAGTACCAATTATTTTTTCTTTTCGAATTAACTTAGGACCGATGAAAACTGAGACTGCCACATTGACCGCTAGAAAATTAACTTTTATTTTCATTAAAGAGAAAGATATTCAAAGCACGTGTGTAAAATTTCAGTGTTTGGAGTTTAAAGTTTTAGGATAGAATTGTTATTTTCTATGGACAGTCTAATCGATTGTGCGATGACAGTGTTTACGATGACATCAAAAAATCGTTTGCGGGAAATATTCCACTTTTATTTCTGTTGTGTCGTTAACAGCAAATGAAAGGATAAAACTTTTATTTATTTTAAGGAAAGGGAGTCGTTAACTCATGGTTTTGATCAGAATATTTCGTTAACTGTTAATAACTTTATACTTGTATATTTAGATGTCGATTTGAATGATCTCACAACCAAGCAGGTACTCTTGGCTTTTCAATCAGAAAATATACCAGTTAGTGTTAAATAGCTTCTAGTTGAGTGAGACTTAAGCTAGGCAAGCATAACTATAAACCACTTGAGCTTGTCAATATTTATTTTCGTTCATGGCAAAAAATTGTAATAAAATTAAGAGAAAATAATAAGAGAAAAAATTGCAGGTGTGTTAATTGGTGGTGATCAGGAGACATGTTGTCGGTARCAGGTCGCTTGTTTGGGGCATTTGATCAGAACGCTTGCGCGGGTACCTGAAAAATAGCCATTAAGATGATAAGATAAATTCTCAATCTGATTTATTTACATATAAGATGAAAACGCTCGATAGGATATATTATATGAAGTGAGGCCCGTCCCGTTAGCCTCTGCCATCAACGTATACATAGTAATCTTGTTTAATTTGAATCTAGCCTGCGCGCAACACGTGAATATTCTGAGGGTAAGGCTAGTTAGCTCAGCAACTGTGAATTCAAAACTGAATTAAAACGCGGTCCCCACAATATATATCGATGCTCCTTCTGTTTCGTTGTCTGTGTCGGGATGATATATTAATCAATTACTAATCTCTTTTTCTCCAGAAAGAGTCGCCGCCATGCGTGGGCCAGGTTGCCTGGTCTTGATTCTCCTTACAGCTGGTGCGTCCATTGTCCAGTCATCGGTACCATTACAAGGTAAAAACAAACCACGTGTTCAACATCTCCAGTCGATTTTGTAGTTAAGGGTAATGACATTTTGAGTACAACAGAGCTGAACGTCTTGTAATTTCAACTCAACGGCCTCTTTATCCCTCCCTCCCTCCCTCCCTCCCTCCATCCCTCCCTCCCTCCCTTCCTTCCTTCCTTCCTTCCTTCATTCCATTCATCCTCGCATTCAAATCTTATTTCATCTATACCTTGTTTATTGTTTTTACAGGAATAAACTACAACCAAAATCCAAGTTACCAGCCCTACGCGGCTGCATATTCTCGAGCCCAGCCTCCCAGGGGTTACGCACAGGTCCAGGCAGCGTATTCTCACTTCCAGGCCCCCTATGCACAGAATGAACGCCAGTACCGCTTTCCTTATGCACAGCCTCAGGCCAAAGTGCAAGCTGGATATTATCCCCAGTCCATCTCTTCCATGCCTCCTGCATGTCCTGCTTCGTGCCCTCGGAGCTGTTACCCACAATGCACTTCAAGCTGTTGTTCGCCACCTACCCCTCCTCCACCCCCTCCCCCACCACCACCACCACCACCCCCTCCCTCATGTCCTGCCGGGTGCCCAAAATGGTGTATACCCAAATGTAACGTAGAATGTTGCAATCCCAAACCCCCACCGATGCCTGAGTACCTCAAGAGACAACAGCTGGCCGCAACAGCTTGTGAGGGAAAGAAGTTACGGATCACGTGTCCAAACCGGTCAGACAGGATTATCATGTACAGCACGTTCTATGGTCGGGATGATAACAATACCTGCCATCATGATGTTTTACCGTCATCTGGGTACTGTAACGAACAGCAGCACAGAGTGAACGAGAAGGTTAGTTGAACCTGCAAGACCTTAGATTGATCTGGTATCATTCGTGTTTCATCTTGATGCAAAGTCAGGTGCAAAGAATTGAATCATCCACAGCTGTACAGGATAACAATTTTATGTCTAGGAAATACCCAAGACACTCTTGCGATAATTCCCAACAGTGTAAAACAGTGGCGGATCCAGGATTTTGTTCACGGAGGGGTGCTGCGCACAAAGTTAACCAAGGGAGGGGTGCACCTCTTAGAATAAATGGTAAAAAACAGTATTGGTTATCTTCAAAATTGGGGCACAAAGTGGAATCAGGGAGGGGTGCGCACCCCCTGCACCCCTCCCCTGGATCCGACCTGGTAAAATGACATAGCTGCCATATTGGCGGCATAACAATAGGAGCTTATGAGTACCTCATCAATGGCAAAAGTTCCAGGTTTCAAACATGACTTTTTTTGTTTCTGTAGGTCTTTGATCTTTGTGGACACGAAAGAAAGTGTATCGTAGCAGTGAATAACCATTTATTCGCAAAAGACAATACCACAATCTGTCCTGGTGTCTATAAATACCTCAAGGTTATCTACAAATGCTCACAGCATCCCAAGATCTTCCCGGTAAGATTGAAACGAAATTAATATTATATTATGTGCATCTATACGTACTAAAGCACTCATTGTACTTTACGATTTATTTTACGAGGTGCGAGCTTCACTGATGTTGAGGTGACTTACACAGACACATAGCTTACATATAATACAATAAGTGATTAAATTATTCCGTCTCTATTTGGAGTACTTGAAAAAGTATTTTTAGGCCTTTTCCGAATTCCATAAACAAAAATCATTGTGGGCTGTCCTGGGTAAAAACAACACCGAGGCAAGAAACAAAAGACCACAAAGCACCATAATGCACCTACGCCTCTTAACGAAACTGATGGCATTTCTCTTGCTTTCACACCTAGATCTGTCCTCTTCCTTGTCAAAACCCAAAGAATTGTTTTCCAAAATGCGCGAGCGATTGCTGCTCACCGCAGCCGCCTAAACCAAAGGCTGATTCAAATCCCAAAGCACCTCCAGCAGCGCCTGCACCTCCACCACCTGCAGCAGCTAGTTGCCCAGCAGCTTGTCCCTCGTACTGTAAGCCACCTTGTACCCCACAGTGTTGCTATGGTTCACAACAACAAGACCAAGAACAACCACAACTGCACGGAAGTGTACAGCAACCATATGGTGTATTATCGTCATACCTTACTGCACGAGCAAAGCGCCCACGTCCATCATACTTAACCATGTATGGGACCCGTGCAGGAGATAGTCAGTACACAAAACCACAGATGAGATATTTCTCCACACAATATTCTTCAAACCCGCGAAATTTGTTTGAAAATTACAGAAGGTATCCACTGAGCCCACTAAATTGTCCAGCGGCGTGTAGACGCACATGCGCACCAGGGTGTCCTCGACAGTGCTGCCCTGTCGTCGCTAGGAGACCGTATTATGGAAGATTTATGACAAAGTTGGATAACAAGGGTTCAATGTGGGATTAAACACCGGAGTATTCTGCAGGAGACGAAAAGATGACGTTATTCTACGTTATTTAGATGAACGAATGCAAGTTTTTTTGCATGAATTTGATAATATTTATTCGAGACGGATCCTTCCAGTCCTGCTGCTGTGTACATAAAATAACGATTCGCAATGAACGATCAGCATTAGAGAAAAGTCAGAATAGATTTTGTATAATCTTAAAAACCATGTCAACAGTACTACATCTGTTATTAGGTTTGAAACCGCATCTTTTCTCTATTAATATTCATCTGGCTCTTCAGTTACTTAAAGGTCGAAAGAATCATCGAGAGATTCGTGGTTCAGCCGACGTTCTGCACAAATCGTAAGCCTACATACACAACAGTGAAGTGTGCAAATAGATGCGTCATTCTACGAAATCTGTCAACAGTCGTTCATCAGTCAAAAACACAATGTAGACTTGAAAAACGACGAGTTAATCTAGAATAGAGGATGACAGAACTGATCCAAAGCCGTTAAGAAAGTCCTCACAGAATACCAATTCAAGAATAAGTAAGAGTGAAGGAATTTCTTTCCTTTATGGTGCAGGGGAAAATGATGAAGTTTTTCTTGTTTTGGTTGTATATAATTTGAGTGTTAAATTTTTAAAATTCTTTCGACAATTAATCTCAACAGAAATGTTCGTCCTTCTGTTCACTAGTCAGTACTAAATAATATAGGATGATATTTAGATATTGTTGCTTGTATTGCGCGCATTGTCCATGCACTGATATGATCAAATGCGCAAAATATAATACTAGGTAGCATAAAAACATGTTTTTTTTCTGTAATGATCATGGAGTAAAGCTCGCAAATGCCTTTATACAGTGCGACTTTTGTTCGCAAGCTTTTACTTTCTTATTGTACATACTTTCAGTTGTTTCAGTGCATACTAAAAATTACGATTCAAGTGCAACTCTTTCTCCGGTCACATACAGTTGTACAAACATTTAACATTTAATGATGTTAGCTAAAATGTAAATACAATAAAATAAGACAATTACGTTGTATTGGTCATGTGGTGTGTAGGTTAATATTTCCGAGGGAGAATGAGACGCACTCTTTCAATGAGACTTTTATCATTCCGCACGCGCTGAATTCTTCAGGTATTGCATATGTTACGCGCGAGACTTGAAAAACAAGTCAAGCTTATTCTATATAAAAAATTTTTTTACTGTTATGTAGCATCCGCAATTATTTGGCAACATCGACTCACGAATGTAAAGATGATAGGTTTTTTTTCGTGCATGGTTCCTTCCTACGTCTGCTTGTGAAAGAACTYTTACTGGAAGACCATGACACTAAGATAAAATTCAATGCCGATAACCTCGATCTTGACTACTGAACCACGCAGCTCTAATGCCTGCAACCCAACAACCAAACGCCTTCAGTACTATTATCTACGTTGTGGCTTCCTCAAACAAATCCATGATCAAAACTATTATACTTGAAGGTAATCACATTCGATTATTATAAATAATAGAGACATAAAAGCTTGGCTTATCTCCCAATATTAATCTTTCTGTAGATATTTTAATTATTAATTGATTGAAATGTTTGAAAGGCTGTGATGAACTTTGATTACAGTCAATGGACTTTTTGCGAAAGATATATTTCAAATATGTATAAATGTCTGTCTTCCTTGATTCCCTTCACACCGTGAATATGATTCCCTGATGAAAATATTGAAAATAGCTGTCGTAATTTAAAATGTTCCCCAGAAAGGTATTCAAGTACGTCACTGGTTACATTCCCCCCATGGCTCCTTTCATGGCCATCTTCCGTGCTGCCTTTATGACTTTTTGAGGTCCTAAAAGAAAATTAAGACAATAAAAAAAAAGTTAAATTGAGTCATTGAACTTTTCCGCTCGTTTGTTAGATATTTCACTTTTCAAGGAAAAAGTAAAAGATTTGATGACTTCATCACTGAATATCACAAAAAAGAAGCTTGTTTATCGGAGAATTGAGGGAGGTTCAACCTTTTAATGTAATTTCTTTGTCTTTTCTGAGTAAGAGGGATTTCTTAAGTAAATAAGTAATATGGTTCAGTTACCCGGAGGAGGCCCCTGGCCAGGTTTCTTGTCATCCTTCTTGCCTTTTCTGAAGAAGAAGCGAAGAACATAAATGAGAACGTTGTCGAACCGTACACGTGTTTTCTTCATTCAGTACTGTTTCCCCAGAGATATACCTTACTAGTGAAGCAACTTCAGAGGAGGACTTCCCTCCGAAAAAGGGACATTTATCGCCACAAATATCATCAATTCCATCTGGAGTATGTCCAGAAGATTGTCGGCTTTTCCTTTGACAACATGGCGCACAACCGCAGAATGGCCCGAACACCATTCGCATTACGAAGGCCATAATAAACACAGCGGAAGCTATTTCAGGAAGATTTTTTAACCGCTACGACAGCTGACCATCGCATTCAACTGATATCAAACAGTTCTGGTTAAGGCTCAACACTTTTATTCACAGATAAGTCTAGTTGAGTGAAAATCATAGAAAGATGGATTTGATCGGATAAAAGCACTTTGTCTGCATGATAACCTATTTCTTGCATTAAAACACTTCAATACAATATAATGCGGTTTCTCTATTCTCTTTTTTGCCCAATCTTAATGGGGGGTGACCGCTGACTACACAGACGTGCAAGAGTATTCAATAATTGTTCACTGTCTATCCATTTGTATAATTTACGAATCTAACCATAAGGTAGTCCCAAATCATCATCATTATCGACGCGCATGAGTTATACCCATTATGGGATTCGATAATTACCAAAAAATAATTCGTTAAAATTTCMAGACAATCAACGACCGCCATATTGGATTATTTTTGCCATGCATGTGACGTCACATAGCCGCCATGTTGGTTTATTTAGCAATGATATTATTTATGATAAGTTTCTTTTATGTCATCCAACATGGCTAGGTACGAACCTTTCTTTGGTATTCCTTCGTTTGGAAACAGTCTTGTACCAAATACGGAGATATTTTTCAAAACAGAATTTTGTAATTAAAAGCAAAAATCAAATTTCGATTAACCGTGTTAGCGTTGCTGTTATTATTTGGCCGTCCGCAAAGTTCGGAATCTGATTTATTCTCTTAATTTGTTAACAAAAACAAACATATGAACCATACAAATCTGGTCTTGCAAACAATTCATTTCTCCATTGAGTAGTCAAGACCTCTGAATACCGAAAGCATTTAACAGAGATCCCAGATAAGACAGACCGAAAATCGGATACGAAGACTGTTGTCGATAAACCTCAAATTTAGAATTCAGATAAATAAGAATGTGGAATTCTCCAGCTTAGAAACGAAATGATGTAATGAAATACTTTAAAGTAAATACTCAGAAAAAAAATATATACAAGGGATTATCAAGCGAATGAGTACTGTTTTTTGGCCGGCACTATTTTTCTTCTTGGAAATATAATTTTTTTTCTTACTACTTTGTAATGGTGAAAATATAAGCTTGGATATCCATTTGAATTTCAGATATCCATTCCTTTACATCGCTTCAAAGAAACCTTTAATTTAATCCGTTCTCAGTCGAAATAATGTTGGAATAAATTTAATTCACTAAACTTCTATCCACATACCCTGGAAGGACTTTCTTCACTTTGTTCTTGGTTGCTTTCCAAGCCTTTTTTGCATTCGGCATTCTCAACTGCCGCTTCGTAATATTGCTTTATCTATCTAGTGAATTTTTTACGAGAGCAACTCTGTTGTCAGTAATAACAATAATATTCTTCACACTATTTCAATTACGTCTTACTAGTCGTCATTCGGTTTTGATTCGCTAGGTATTTCTTCCCAAAGCAGATTTTGGTTTAATTAACTTCGCTATTGGCTCAAAACCAATTTTTCTCCCTCAAATTAAATATATTTAAAACATTATCTTATAAATAAATCTTCGGTTTTCTAAATGAAATTCTTCAAATACAATAGAATTCCCTGGAATATTAATGAAAAGTTGGTTTGAAAAATACGTAGCCAAAATACCCAATTGATAAAGATTATGATCTCAACATTACAAAAAGCTAAATAAATTTCTAATTTTTGAAAAGATTTTATTAGGGTCAAACGACACGAGTACAATTGCAACAACTCCGATTTTTCGCCAAGTTTCACTGAAAAATTGAAAACTAAGCTTTGCAGCTCGAAACTGACAATCATTTAAAGCAAGATTTAAAACAGTTAAATCTATTTTGTTTTTAATTCAACTATTTTTATTTTTAAGTATAAAGTATATACGTAGGAGAAAGGTTGTTCGTGTTTCGGGATTTTTCACCTGCGTCGTTGACGTCATGATTCCTAATTTGGTGTGATTAAACTATTCAGAGCAGAATACTTGGCTTTTGTGATTGGTTAGATTTCTTATCGCTGTGAAGCATAGCTGTGGACATCGCTGTGTGTTATAATACAGAAATAATTTAACATTTAATGTTAAGAGGAACTACATATATGAAAACCGTTAAAACCACAGGAAGACCGGCTAGTGAATTTTAGACATTAGAATATAACTTCTCTACAAAACTGGCCTAACTTTTACGCCGACGTCATCTCTGTTGCCTGTCCCTTCGCTTTTCAAGACAGCGGAGAATGTACTTGGATATAGGGAATCTGCTCTACATTGAATGTATAGTAAATTAGAAACATAGTTCGTATTTATCTTATAATAATAGTAATATAGTAATAGTATAGTAATATCACGTGACATGTTGTGCTTTAGATCTGCATAATGCCATCACGTGACGACATGTAGGCGAGACATTTTATAGTATCACGTGATGAGCTTAATGTCATCACGTGACGAGATCACGTGACACGTGGTATGTACTTACGGTGGAGTGTTACAGCACCCAAAGCACAAACTGTGCATAACATTACGCTTGGCTGGAGCGGGTTCTCTTTCTAATCAGGTGCTTATCTTTTATTCGTTTCAACAGGGAATGTGAATATATCGGTATCCATGGAAACACGTATGATGCGTCCTTGTATTGCTTGATGGACTTGTGTATGAATCGTCTGTCCAATCCATAGTCGTATATTTGTCCTGATGAAATAAACCTTCAGGTAAGCATAACAAACTAGACTCGAAAAAATTACTACGACACCGAAAATCTTCAACTGTACGGCTTTCTAAATAGTAAATAATTTGTTGGGTCATTGACTTTTTTAGACTTTTCCACAGTTAATTTAGCAATAGTTTTCATCAGTAATACAGAGGGGAAATAACTGCCTTTTGTTCGTTAGGTATATCGATTTTGAGTGCTTCTCAACAGCAAGGCGCATGCGCGGAATCACTGCATGCTGTAACTACACTAGACATAAAGAGAACTAACACAAAGGGTTTACAAGCGTCGGCTACCAATCCTATTTATCAAGGATTAGACTAAGTAATATTATTATGTTTGGGACTATAAATACTGGATTGGTCAATAATATGCTAGGTGCCGACTTAGAATGCGTTGATTCATGCGAAATTCTTTGCTAATTCAATAAAAACGAGTCAAATTTAGAAATAAGTAGCGTCTAGGCTCTTGTCCCATTTAGAGCAGTTTTCGTATGATTGTGAAAAGCTCACGGCACGAACACGGTCGTGACACAGCAAGGGATACGTTAGACCAATCACATTGCTCGAGAATTTACTCTCCATCCAATCAAATACCCGGAACACGTCATAAACACGGCGCGGACACGGTCACGCCAAGGTCACAGCACTGTCGAAACCAATGACATTGCGCGAAAAAACAAGACATTTAAAATTCTAGAAAACACCACGGTCACGGCACGTCACGCTTATGGCACTGAGCTTTTCACAGTCATACGAAAACTGCTCTATTACTAAGTGTAGATCTTTTTAATAATGAGATTCTTAATTTGTTCGACAGCAGTCATATCTAGGGATCTAGGTCTTCTTGTGTGCAACCGTTAAACAAAGTAATAATACTAAAAGGAATGACTCGTAGCCTTCCTAATGTGAGGTTTCTTTGGTTTTATTACCTAGCAAAGAAATAATACTCAAGGGAATTAATAACGCGTGATTTTATTTCAATGGGGGAAACATCACGTAAACTTCTTTACGTGTGATCTTATCTTATCTCGAAAATAACATAAAATTATCATGGTAATTATCGGTCTGATCATCTTCGACGTCTGCGCGTTGTCTCTCGTCATGCCAACAGGTCAAACAAAAGGAAAAAACTAACAAAGACTGAAAAAATGGCGRGAAATTAATAGCGATGGAAAATATAGAAAAATTCTTAATGCATTACAAAAGCATAGTTGTTTTAAAAACCATACGATGTTTTTTTTCCAGAACCCGGAGAAAACCCTTGTGGCTAGGGAGAGAACAGCACATCAAACAAACTCAAACTCACATTGACATCTACCAAACTTCAAAGCGTCACCACTCAATAAAGGAATGATACTCAAGAAATTCTAAATTCTAATTTGGTAAGTTGTTATAGCAAAATATCCATCACCAAGTCACCGTCAAACCAATACTATTGCATACGAAGAGATTTTGCGAATTGAAGTCGGAACTTGGCAGACTTCGGCGCACGAGGAGTGACTATCCATTGCCATGATAAAAGAGATAACTTGCTTATATATAGTAGAAATAAGAGCTCACTGTACCTTCGATAGTGGTTGAAAACACCAAAACCAGGGCGGGAAGACAGCAAACAGCCAAACCAGCGCGCATGCGCATCATATCATCAATCACTAGTCTTTAGTAAGTCCAGCGTCAAAGCTTTGTGCGTCTCTAAGTTTTCTCAGCTTTTAATAAGAATGTAGTAACCCAAGGGAGGATCGCAATCGTGACTAACATGGCGAGATTATTTCGTTAATTACTGCGGGAATTGAACCGGAGGCAAATACCATCCCTCCCAGTGTGGTCCACGATACAAAAAAAAAAAAAAAAAAAAACAACAACAACCAGTTGGTCTGAAAATTCGAGTTTTTTATTGATGCTTTGCGCCAAGCGAAGTGAGCCTCAAGACTGCTGCGCAATTATAAAGCCTTTCAAGTTTATTATTTTTGGAATCGTTTTACATCACGTTTTGGTAAATAAGTTGAAGTTGTAATCCTATACTTTTAATTTCCTTTAACAGTTGCCGTTGTTGTTTGTAAAAAGTCTCGGCAGACTGAAGACTGCGAAGATGTACGTGAACTATCAAAAAAAAAGCCCTGAAGTTCTTCTCTCGGTTCAGTTTACCACGGAAACAAACCGCGGTTGTCATCGGGACACGATATAGAGGTAGAGGTGTGGGGACATCAGGACACGCATTTAGAGGTGGTGTGGGGACATCAGGACACGATTTAGAGGTGAGAAATGGGGACATCAGGACACGATTTATAGATGAGGTGTGGGGACATCAGGACACGATTTATAGATGAGGTGTGGGGACATCAGGACACGATTTAGAGGTGAGGTGTGGGGACATCAGGACACGATTAAGAGGTGAGGTGTGGGGACATCGGGACACGATTTAGAGAGGGAAGGGGTTGGGGACATCAGGACACGATTTAAAGAGAAGAGGTTGGGGACACGAAACAAATTGCAAAATAAATTCAGAAACCGAGTATTAAGCATTTCAACAGGTGTCTAATGGAGATGGGGTATTTACTGGTACCCTGGTATTCTAATAGCATGCAGTAAAACACATGACACAAATCAGCAAAAAATGCGAGTTTATTTCATAAATATGCTTTGGAAGATGAAGGGACGAAGACGAGTAAATACAGAACAATAAACATACGACTTGACCACCTAAAATGGCTTTTAAAAAACCATTACACTCAATCTTTACCGAAAACTGACTACCGGCACAACACAGCTGTGTCGACACTACAAGACGATTATATTTATATTGCTCACACCAATCTAGTATCTAGACCTCACACGTCCGACAATAGACGTGCGTGCGGTGTCTAGCTAAGGGACTGGGACTGTCTTCTGCTAATTTACATTGCAAAACTACGGAATCGAGTGTGGAGCTTGAGATACGACTGGGAGAATGAGAGTAGAGTGGCTGGTGATGAGTATGATTGTCACGTCATTGCTGCCATATTGGTGTACGTTCTGTAAGTTTTATCGTTATTCTTGCTTGGTATACAAGAACATAGTGAGAAACAACAAGCCATATTTGGTCGGTTATTGCCTTGAGAACAAACGTAAAAAAATGGATTAAAATTTTGAAAGTTTAAAGGTTGGATAATGGAGGTTCGAGATGACAAGGATTTGGGACATTTGAAATATTTGGACAAATTCGTCAACTGAATAAAAATATTGCGGTTTCACATTCTTAAGAAAATCCTCGGAAAATTTATTGCACGTTTTGATACCGAAAAAAAAATCCCCTTCCGAGTTCGCACTAAGCTCCACACACGAGACAAACTACAAATAAGGATTATGCTGTGCATGACAAGTTAATCGATTAAACAAGCTAAGTTATCTGACAAATTAAGCCCTTCACCACTACAACAGAGGCAACAGAGAAAACGCCTCCAACACTACGAAAATGTACACAAAGTACAAAGTACAACTACGATCACGTGCATCAGTACTTGGTATCACGTGCTGATCACATGCACACTACCCACGGACATGCGAAAAGGTCACCGCCACTGCTACAAAGGACGAGGACGCACAGACAATCAGTACACAGTCACGTGATCTGAAGAAAACAGAGTGGACAGYACATGAGACAGAGTTACGAATGCATTGTGGGATCTTAATATTTATGAACTCATTTTAACTGCAATAAACTGAAGAGAGTTTTGTCACAGTTCACAGTTATCTCCGTTAGAAGTGACTCATATCTCCCGAGATATCACTTTTTTATAAACAACTAATCAAACACGAAGAGTAAAGACACAAAAAACACTAACAATCTACAAAGCCAAACAAACACGTGTGCTTAAAACATAATCTATGCTACATATTTTTAGTGACGCACAGGTTGCCTGTCCGACAATCGCAAGAAAGCCATCTTGAAAAGTAACCACGCCCCTACATGAGAACGAAAAAGCCATTCTTCTTTTCTCATTGGTAATAACAATGATAACGAGAATACTTTGTTGCAAAAAATGCTTGACAGTTTGCACATTGTAATCAATGGAAGACACGTTTTGTAAAGAGAAAAGAAACGCTATATACACAGGGTGTTTCAATCATGAAACATGGATGCTTTTCAAGTTGGCCATTAAAACGCTGACTCTAACCCAGTTGTGCGTATTTTGGTGGAAATGTCTGCAACACATAACAAAAGTAAGAGTCAAAGCAATACAAAGCAGATGTAGTAGACTTACCTCAGTATGGACGGTTGGCATCTTTGGGTCTCTTCAATTGTACTTTCAGTCGTTTGGTTGCGATTTGAAAACCATTCATGTGTGTAATGGCACTGGTGGCAGACTGAGGATTATCATAACTTACAAAACCTGAAATCAAAAGTTTGTTCTCTTGAGAGCGGAAGATCTCACTGTGTCTTACGTACTGCGCACGATTCGGTCATGACCACAGGAATGAACATCACACATACAACCAGAAGTTAACAGGATTTAATATTCTATACTCACCAAAACATTTGCTCGTGTTAGTTACTTTATCTATAAAGACCTTGGCACTTATAATGTTACCAAACCGTTGAAATGTATTCAAAAGATCGGCGTCTGAGAATTCTTGTGGCAAATGATAAATAAATAAATTAGCTCCTTCAGGACCTAAAAGATAAAAAAAGAAATTTGAGATTTGAGAAATTATTCGCAGGCATTTGTGGATTTGGGGATGAGTACCTTACAGAATTCTAAGGAGTTTTGAAAGGGTTGCACAAACCTTCTTTCTGAGGTTGTCTTGTAGCTTGTTGTTGATATAAAGCATGATTGTAAATTGTGGGAAATGTTGCTATTAAAAATAAAAGAAATAAAAATTTAGACGAGAGAAACAAAACATTTAAAAAGCATGGAGGACAGTCTCCTACTCATTATCAAGCTTGCACTTTTTAGTCGTAAAAAAATAACAAGCAAAAAACGCGAAAGAAGCTAAGAATTCCGCATATTTTATGCTTAGAAATTAAGAAAATTCCAAAGAAAGTCTACATGTAGCTTAACATCACTTGACATTTATATTAAAGACTTACTACTATACTGTTGAATTCCAGAGTACGCCTGTGACAGAGCATCGACATTGCCTGTTAGATTGTTTACACCAACTAAACCCCCCATGTTTCCCATTCCTAATGAAGCAAGAGCTGCTGGATTGGCTGCATTAGCATTCATTCCTGTAAGTAAGTAATAACAAAATATCGGTTAGAACTGGTATAACCTGGGGTGCTTACCATTTACCTGAAGGGGGGGCGGGGGGGGGGGGGGCAGGAAAAAACCCCGGAAATTCCAGTTGGAAAACAAATGGTATGTGTCATTTCAAATGGAAAGCTCCGGAAAACTTATATCATACTAGAATCAAGGCTGGTGTAGCAGTAGTACACTCGCCTCTCACCTTGTGGTCTCAGGTTTGATTCCCATAGACTCGGCATCACATGTGAGTAGAGTTTGTTGGATCTCTTTCTTAATTTGAGGGTTTTTCTCTGGGTTCTTCTGTTATCCTCCCTCTGCAAAACTCAACATGCTAAATTCCAAGTCRATCTGTGAGATATCTAAATATTGTGAATAAAGTGGTCTTACAGCAGCTAAGTTTTAGAACAACACCATAGAAAGTCTTCCTTTGGAGAAAAAGAAATCCCTTGTTATGCAAAGACCTTGCATTTGCCTGTCTTACAACATGGTGAAACCATTCCATAGTAAGCATTTTCGCAAGTGGGTTGCAGCCTCCACGACCCATCCCCTGGACTTGCACACTACGTAGACATAGCAGTATTTTAAACAAAAACTGTTGACGTACCTAGACCAGGGATCCCTCCAATTCCTTGCATACCAACCCCCAAGGGTGATGCATTTGACATTGTGTTTGCTGTACTGGAAGTGACCCCACTTGTGCCGCTGCTTGGTACCTGTTGCTGCTGTTGTTGCTGTTGTGCCATTACTGTTGCTGCAACTAATGCCCCAAGACTTCCAGATTGAAGCACTGTAATCATACATTTAACATAATTTAAGGTTAATAATAATAATTAATAATATCAGTACTAATAATATTATTATCAAATAAGGCAAATCTGGCAAACCATTGTCATCCTCAACCATTATTAAAAACCACTTCCATTATTACTATTATAAACATCATCACCCATCATTATCACTTTATTATTATCATCACCATCATCATATAATAATAATATAGTGCTCATACAGTACATGTAAAGGGCATTCTATTACCGACCACTACCAATATCATCATCATCCTTTATTATCACTCCATAACTGTCCTCAATGTTACCATCATCTTTAACATCATCAATATAATCACAAACACTACACAAATCAATGTAATTACATAGCATACTACCTTTAGAAATGCTTGTAAGGTACAGTGTGTGTAGGAGTAGTTACCTGGGTTGATGCCGGGAATCATGTTGAAACCAGGTTGAATTCCTGCATTTGCTGCCTGTTGAAGCTAAGAGTAATAAATAAAAAGACTCAGATGCAAGTTGACTTTGTTTAATGTTTTGTTATCTCACTTGATGCAAAGGTTTTTCTCTGTGTTCTTTTGTTTTTCTCACTCCGTAAAAAACATTATTTTGTGATGACAGCTGAGTACTTAGAAATGCAGTGGTGGTCAACTTAATATACATAAACACAAATTATGTAATATTAAATTAAAGGTAAATTATTTATGTGAACTACAGGAAACACTAAGAAGCAACATTTATCAATGTCAATTTGAAAGTCTGCCTCTCTCTCTGCATTATCTCTGTCTTACTTCTTTTTTCATGTACTTGATATATTTGTAGCTTCAAAATTTGGACATGACTAACTTATATGTCGCACCCTGAAACAACCTCTGGGCTTCTAAGTCAGGGCATGACTAACTCACAGATCAAACCCTGAAACAACCACTGGGCTGATCTAAGTCAGGGCACAGCTAACTCACAGATCAAACCCTGAAACAACCTCTGGGCTGATGTAAGTCAGGGCATGGCTAACTCACAGATCAAACCCTGAAACAACCTCTGTGCTGATCTAAGTCAGGGCATGGTTAACTCACAGATCGAACCCTGAAACAACCTCTTGACTAATCTAAGTCAGGACAGGCTAACTTACAAATTGAATTGAAATGTAGCTAGCTGGATTTTGTAGAGGGAAGATGAAGCAGTGTAACTTAATTTAGTTGCATAAGTCTAAAAGGCTCTCTGGCCATCTGTCTGTCTGTCTTTACCTGTTGTGTGATGGCAGAGCCATATGCCATAGGGAAAGCAGTAGGATTGCCAAATGCCATCCCTCCAAATGTTGCCATCTGTTGCATCTTTTTTTGTAATTTTTCTTTTTCTGTATCTGCGAATTTAACTACTACTGGTGATGAACAACCCTAAAAGAAAATATGTAGATGATGGCTAGTAAACACTAGCGTGGACTGCGTCGGTGTTTCTAATGAAACAGTTATCGTAGAATGATAAGTTATACACCGTAGTGAAAATAGTAACTAACATTTTGGACGCTAGTCCTTCGTCGGAGTCAATGACTACTATTACTATTTTCACTACTATGTTACTATTTTCACTACGGTGTATAACTTATCATTCTACGATAACTAAAAGAAAATAAATCACTTTTTTAGTATATTAAGTAAACATATATATATTGGTTTCCAATTTATCCCACTGCCACCCACACTGTGCCACCACATTAATGCACATATTCCATGCATAGTACAATACTAAACTCACTCAAATCACTTAAAATAATATTAAATAATAAACACAGCATTCTTAGAGTGCATTCAACAAAGCTTAATGCACTGACTGAAAATGAGAACAAATCAAGCTTACGTCATTAAAGTCATTCAACTCAGGCAGATTGTTACAGAGTTTAGGTGCTGCATATGAAAAGCAGAACTGCCTATGAGTAGCAATCTTGATAGTTGGGAAGGTTAGAAGAGATAATTTTGAGGAATGTTGTTTAGGAGTACAAGATCAAGTATCTGATAAGTAGATGTGAGACATCTAGAGTTGTTATGGAGAGAAAAACTGCCAATGCATAGCATGTGCTTGGTAGTCATAGATTATGCTTTTGCTGACAGAAGTAAGATAAAAAGTGAAATACTTTACCTCCATTGTTCGACTGTTATGCATGTTAGCAATAGCACTTTGAGCCTGCATCCTGTTGCTGTATTTTACAAAGGCACAACCTACAACACACACCAGACAACTCATTAAGAATACATTTATTGGTACTTTATTACAAGGGTAGTGTAGCAACACTTACTTTAAAACCTTCCATACAGCGAATATTAATAAAAGTACTTTTTGGAAAACATTTTAGTACAAGTATGTACTGTCTTATGTTTTCCCTTTAATACAGATAATGTATGCCTAAAAGTTTACCTTTACTGGTTCCATCGGCATTTCGCAAAATCGTTAATTCTTCTATTGTGCCGAATGGTGAAAACATCATACGAACATCTTCCTCTTTGGCAGACTTTGATATCATACCAATAAAAAGTTTTCTATCCTCTGAAACAGGAAATGAAAAGAATGGAAGAATGAAAAGAGAGTAATATTTAAAATGCTTCCCAATTCCATGTRTGAAACTGATAATTTGCTGTCATGATGAGGAAAATGTTGATGGAAGTAAATCAAAGTTTTGCCATAACAATCGTTGAAAGACAAAGGTTTCAAGGGGGCATACCTTTTGAATGTCATGGAAAAGCCTTGATTGACATGCACCAAGACTACTTCTTCGCATGGGCAAATTGTATGATTTCACGTGTTGTTGGATTGGGAAGCAATGTAAGAATGACGGAATTACAGATAAATAATTATATGGATTTAAAATCACATGTTAAGGCTAGTAGCTAAAAAAGAAAGATGGCATTAAGTGAACAATATGAATACTTGGGTGCAAAAAGAAGACATAAGTATAGAGAAAGAAAGTTAATATTTTGATTGCATAAAAGGGTGAGTACACTTCTGTTACAGACCAGATGGACTTTTTAATTACCTGCATTATGAAAACTCTTGTAAATCAATTAAAAATTTCGATTTGTATGCTCATTAGGCGAGGAGAATCAATGAAAATTACTCAGGCAAGCAAGCTGAAACACTCTGAACACAATAATTGTCAAAAAATGGAAGAAAAGCCAATGAAATTTAACTTCCATCAAGAATGTATTTAGGGAATATGACAGAGATGGTATAATGTTTGCTCAAGCTGGACTCAAGAAACTCTTATATCTCATATTGTACAACATCAACATTGTACAGTGGACAAGTACATGCCGTTGATCAACCGAGAATCAAAACTGGTCATCTTAGCAGGGAACAAGATTGGAATCTTTTGAACATCAGAAGTCTGCCATTACACAAAAAGGTGATGTAGCAAATGACATTTTACTACAGAAGTGATTAACTGCATGTACATAACATGAAAATCATCACAATCTAACTGTAACTACATGAATTATATAAACTAGCCTACTGAAAGAATGTCCATGAAACATTTAGAAAAATATTTTTCCTGATAACTTGCCTTTGACTTATATTATATACATAGTATCCTTCTCTTTTATTTCTAAGACCATTAATTAGTATAGGTTTTAATAAAATTAGCACCATGTTAAGAAATATTTTTCATGTACAGCATTAATAATCCTTTACGTACACCATCCTTCATCTATTCTGACTAAGACTCTTAGTCGGCTTTATTCTACACTCTAGTTTAGAGTGTACAATTAACTGAAAGATTTTATAGTTTGTATTTCTTTATTTACTGGTAGATTAAGATCCCAATTATCAAAAAATAGCATTACTAGATGAGATAAGATAATAACAATTCAACTAAGCAGGCATCATTTCTATGGCAGATAACACCATACTCAAAGTAAGATTCATTCTCGATGTTTAAGTGAATTCATCTTTTCGTTCTGCTTTCAAACCAAATTTAAATGAATTTGTTTGTTCTGACTCAGAAGTAAATCAATGGTTAAAAGCATGGACAAAAAAGGAAAAAAATGTGCACTTTCTTTCCCTACATCTGGTTAATAATGACAAATGAATGATAAGCACATTGTTTTCAATGTCAAAAAAATTGAGCCCAAAACAAAACTGTCAGAAACAAACAAATGAACTTAAGCTTGAGAGGATGTGTAAATAGGTTATTCTTTTAGTCTATAAAGACAAAGAGAAAAGATTCTGACAATGAAAAGTGGATTGAAAAAAATGAAAAGAGGATGAAGACATGAAAAGTGGATGGGAAGAAAGGAAAGATGGAATCCTACCTGATCTAGTTTCACTGTCAGCTGGTTTTACCTGTATAGCATGGTGCATCTGAAAAAATAAAAATAATTTAGATAAGGTGAAAACAATATGATGGCTAAATCTAACACTGAAACATTCAAGACATGAGTGATGGTTTTCATTACATCTGTCTGTCAACAACTCAGTATTTGCTTTGTATCAAAAGGTTAGCAACAATATACAGTAAGGGTGGCCGAATAATTCACAAGTCAGCCTTGTCATATGTGAGTAGATTTTTCTCCACRTTCTTTAGTCTTCCACCTTCTGTAAAACTTAATTTCTAAATTGTAATGGGAAATTCAGTGGACAAAAAGCTACTATAATCTGTAGATTTAATGTGACTGCTAAATCCTAGTATTTTTATTTTTTATTTCTTTTATGGAAAGAAATTACAATGAAAGTTTAAATTAGGATAACTTGAAAGATAACTGGAAGATAACTTTGCCTGAGGTCTTGTATGGTCAACTCCAGACCAAACTTTATTTTTATGACCATTAGCACTGGAGTATATACCAATATATCATTTTTTATCGACTATGGTAAGAAAGTTCAGAGTATATTTTTCAAACATACACATATTTATGAACTAATCAGAGAAAAAATGGTATATTTTCATATTTTGACAAGGTATTATTTTGGCAGTTAATTTATGTATTTGACCGTTGCACTTCATTTAGTCATTGTCCATTAAAGCACACAACAAAATCCTGTTACCAAAACAACACTATTCCTCTTTCTTTTTTCTAATTTTCCCCCTTTAATTTCCTTTTTGTCTGAGAAAGGAATGATTTCTTTATGAGGGATACCTGTAGGTAACTCTGAAGAAAAACGTTTTTCACTTGAAAGGGCCAGTTCTTCTTGATTTATGAGCTAAAASGGTTTTCAGTTGCTAAATGATTGACTAGATCTGTTAGACAAAACTAAGCTTAGGAGGAAATATTTAAATTGAAGAGACAAAGATTAAGTGGCAGGTGCAAAGAACGTATAAAATGTCAAAAAAACTTCAAAAAATTCTCTGAAATATTTAAAAAAAATTTACAAAAAAAGGGGGGAAATGAAATGTAAATAAGACGTTTTTTTATTTCTGGTTAGAGATTTACTAAGCAATTTTATCTTTTTAATTGATAGATTTTTAAGTGACATGTTCGATAAACCAAAACCATTGCTGTGTTTCAAGATAATATTCGTAGCTTGATTAGATAAGCGTATGACAAAGAGGTTTATAAATGCGACGCAGACTTCGAGATTTGAGAATTTTAAAAATAAGCCTTTTGGCAACAAAAATTACATTACCCACTGTCAAATCTATGCATTCAAGAACAAAACATAAAACATTCTCAAGAATTGAAGATACAAATATATCGAATAATTCTACCGCAAAGTAATGAATATTTGAACTATCGCTAGGTTTCAATAACAAAAATAAATGAGCGTAAATTCTCTACATTAAAATGCGTTAAAAATTGTCGAAATACTTGAATATTATGAGTAGTTTAGACTACGGGATAAATAATACAGAGTAAAATGTTAAAAATGAAGGCTTGGCAGGATGATTTGTTTAGAGCACATGGCTGTGATCGTCAATCGTGACGTAAAGTACGAGTTTGTAGATTTCAGGGGAGCTCAACTTAACCCATTTCATAATAAAGATATCAACAGATTGCAGTTATAAACCCACTGATTACAGTTAACTAGATCTATATACATTATACTAGCCACAACAGTGGAGATCTTTGCAGAGAAAGGTACTTTTAGTTAAGACAAGCGATGTTAATGAGTGAAGTTCAATGCGTTCTAATCAGACGGCTTACCGTAGAAACGAAAACATTTCAAACTTCACTCATTGATCGCCAACATTCAGTTGACTGTCTGCCCTCAAAAATACACAGACAATAATTCTAAAGTATTGATGACCACAGACACCATCATAGTAAACGAATCAAGAAATCTAGTTCTTCAAACTTTTACTAGAAGTAAAATTAGATTAAAAGCTTCTCATGACATGATCATTACTTACCCCGGGTAAAGTTTTCTTCTCGTGTAAGTTCTTTTGCGCATTTATAGCAGCTTCTCTTGAGGAAAACGTTAAGAAAGCACATCCTACGAGATAAGATATACTTCAGCTCCATATGGATTTGGAGTGGAAACAACTCGAGGAGGAGAAAAACTAACCTTTGTGGTTACCGGTATATTTGTCCTTGAGGATCGTAAGTTCATGGATTGAGCCAAAAGGTTCAAAGATAGGACGAAGATCTTTCTCTTCCCAAGTCCTAGGAACTTGTCCTATGAATAATTTGACAGAAGTAGGATCCCTCCCAGTCACCCCTACACCGTTAGTGGTGGGTTTTACCTCCATTCTAGGTTATTTGGTTAGCGAAAAAGCAGAAATAAAACACACTACAACACGAGAAAAGGAAACGAACGAAGCAAAATGACAGAAGGACATGTGGGTATCCCATGAACCATTGCGTCAGTACCAACTCTCCTGAGGACTGGGGCGAGAGGAAAATTCGAAAATCCCGGAATAAAAAAACCAAAGGAATCCCAATTGTTTCCAAAACGGATTAATTTTATTTTCAAATAACGATTTTGAATCCTTTTCTTTACTTTTTACGACCCTAGTGATCAAATATTGAAGAGATTTTTGGAATTTTTCGCATAGTTTCTCAGATTTGAAAATCGACAATCAGCTTATTAAAAACAGGCCTAATTTTAATTCAAAGCGTAGCTGTCATTTCGTACTTTTATGATCGCTTGAGCGATGTCCTTAATTGGTATCTTTCTAAGAAGATTACAATGTAATAACTGCTTAAAATAGTGTAGATTTACAGGCCTTATCAGCCATCTTTGTTCCAATTGAGTAGACGAGTAACAGATATAAATATTAACGGTTCGTTAGTGAAGGCATCGATCTTTCTAGACGCGTCGGTCAAAAAATAGCCTCTAGTGCCGCTAGGCGTCAATCACCACTTATCAACTATGAAAGGGGAATGTTTGCGTTATTTTCGTAACCCTAAAAAGGTCTTTCGATTCTTACTTTACTTAAACTGAACAGGGTCATTAATGTAAATATCATCGATTATTTATTTATTAGATATAATATATAAATATCCTGCTATTCATTTTCTCTTATTTGTAAGTGTTGTTTTCTGGTTTTTCGTCGACATTAATGCCGGAGTCTTTCTAGAAAGGTCAATTAAATTCCAATGATTGGAACTATTGGGTCTATTGGAGAGAATCGCAGGCAGGCAGGCAGGCAGGCAGGCAGGCAGGCAGGCAGGCAGGCAGGCAGGCNCAGACAGAGGAGAGTTGCTTGAAGTTTCCCTACAAAACCAGTAGAATGCTTTAAATCGATAAGCAGTCGTTTTCGTTGAGAAATAATCGTAGAAAATTAGAATAAGCTATAGTATATCGTTATTTCGGCAGGGATGCACTAAAAACAAGATATAAATAATTACTTAAGACATTATAATAAAGGATCCAAAGTGTATTTTGATCTTGGAATACACTATTTAGTATAATTTATGCCTCAATTATTCGTGTTTAGTCGTATTCCCATAATTCCTTTCGGTCTTGGAATAAACTTGCGCTTGTCGCCTATCTCCTTTTTGTGTGAAATAGATGCATACGTTGCATGTATACTCAATAATCAAGCAATTATAAACAATTGTGAAGTGCTAAAAGATGGCGATGGCAGATAAGATTTCGTTGTCAGATATTCAGGATTTTAGTATATCTCGGTCATGGCGCTTTGTACTGAAGTAAGAACGAGTCATCATATTTCGTTGGAAATAAGCTAATATGATAAGAATAAAGTTTTTATAGCAATAATTTTCAAAGCATAAAATATACAATAAATAAACACTCGCCGGAAGAGGCAAGAAAGTGTAAGTGACTCTAACAGCTCAGCAATACAAAAGAAACCTAGAAAAACCTAGGGCTTTTAATTAATGTCTTCTGTGCATTCAATTTATTGACCAATTTCATGACAATCCTCTGGCAACACGTGACACATGCGTCCTAGTCCTTTTGAAAATTAAGCTATGATTATTAGCGAAAAAAGAGTTCAAAGTTTACTTTTGACCCTAGAAGCCCCAACACCCTGCAACCAAAACATAATGCTACTTTCCTGTATCCCYATGGCAACGCAACTGCTTGATAAGCAAGGAAGGAAGTGCGTGTATTTTGAATGGTGGTCACAGACACCTCGTGTGCACGTAAGCAATGCTGATAAGCGATACAATCACGAAACCTTATCACAATTTAGATTATAATTCTATACAAGTGATAAATATATAAACCTCAACAAAAACGCGCAATTTCTAGTTCTTGGCTATCAAATTAACGAGTAGATTCGTTTGCTTTCTACTCTCATAAATCAGCTCAGCTTGGTCCATGGTTTGCAGGAGAGCCTTCTATCATTCATTGGTAAGTCTATATGTATTCACAAAGAGATACTATATTGAAATTGTCGTGCGCAGTAGTCTTTGCCGCGTCTAACCGCACTTTATGTGTATAACATTTTTGTAGTCTTGGCGTTCGAGCAGTAAATTGGAATAGTTACAAAATATTTTTAAACATCAATTACTTTAAGACCATAAAATTTTCATAACTATTCCGGTGAGTCAACTGTTGTTAATGAGATTCAAGGATTTAAAAAACACAAACAACGCGCGCCAAGCTGTGCAAGAAAGGAGATTCGAAATGGTCTCACAAAAATCCAATCTAAGCTTTTCTTCCACTGACCACCTTCTCGATTCCCACACTATAAGACGTTTCTCAACCTTTCTATTGCTTAGATTATTTGATGTTATTTAAAACACAAGTTAATTGCGAAAAAAAGTACTAATTTGCAAAGTCTCTGGAGTTAGAGAAATCACAGCAATCGTACGAATCAATGAAATAGGAGAGAAAATCTAACCGTTGCTTTTGAAACAAACCTGAGGGGGTCTGGGAAAAATAGCATATGACAGTGTTGTCGTAATTCACCCACAATAGGACATCGAATTCTTTTTTCATATAGAACTTACCCAATTAATCTTTTTTTTAACTGCTATTTTGGATCATGTGTCAGATCTGACAGAACGCTATTCCCTCTAGTATATACTTGGTTTATTTCATTTCAAGAACGCACTTGTTCAAGACTGCCGTTTGCGCTGGTCAAGTGAATGTCTGTAAGTAGATAACAGAAAGTGAATCGTAATTGTAGATATTTACTTTTTTGGTTTGAATTCTTGCTGATAACTGAGTAAATAACTTTTAGTTTGCTTGATTAAAAATTAGGATAAAATAGATCCCAGTAATGATCGACAAGCATATTCTAGGATATCAAGAAGGAAAGCAATTTCATTTTGTATCATCACTTTACACATTCCTCTTAACGGTAGTCGCCTGAAAATTGGGGGAAAAAGGCTTCATTCTGACGAGGAATGTCCTAAACACTAAGATATACTAAAATGAACATTAWGAATAACGATAATATTCGTTATCGTTAAGTATAAAGAGCAAAATACCCTTTAATTAATATAAAAGTAAAACTCATTGACATTTCATTGCGAGAGAAAAACCTGACTTGTCAGGAAGAAGCGGAAAATGATGTATGAATGACTCAAAAGGTGCACGATATTTCAACGTTGGCTCTCAACAATATTTATCCCATCCGGATGCAAAACAAAATTTTGAACTGACTATATACTCACGATATTTGTGGAGAAATGGTCATGAGTACGCGCCGGCGGCTCTTGTTAAACTATTTTACTAAACCTGCTCACTCTGTTCGGGGCCAGGTGACTCATGTCAGTAAAGAAGCTTTGTCTGTGCAATTGGTCGAACTAAGATATCCGCATGATCATTAGAATGAAGAATTATCTAAAATGAATAAATTCCTTTAGAATCCTTCCCGTTGTTCATCATTATACAATACCAGATCCATAGATCCATATGATTATTTAGTATACCACAACTGACATATATTACAAAACCAACTTATTTATAGACAGTGCTATGACTTAGGTACGAGTTATCCGACTACAATAGCTTTACGGCTAACCTATAGATGATATGAATCGTCAGGATGTTTGACTTGACACAGAAAATGACGATTGTAATTTAATACTAGCTATTCTAGTTAGTTTTTGAGTTTGTTTCAGGCATTTTATCAACGAAAATCATTATCCATAAGTGGTCATCAATCAGGGCCGTCAATCATTTGACAGTAAACTATACCTATCGTACTATGTTAAAATATATACTTACTGCAATAGACTTACTTACCAAAAGATTGCTGAGGAATATAGATTTTTTTGATATCTAATGATCAGTTTACTAATATAGACTTTTCCCGAATTCGCTTGACTATCACAAAACAATGGTTTCAAGTCGAGGTTGGACTTGGTGAATAAAACAATCAAGTTCAGTCTCGACTTCAGACCATTGTTTGTGGTCATTTAAGCGAATTACGGGAAGTCTTATTGATGATGAAAAACAACCAATGAGAGCGCCAGAAATTTTTAACTTTAATATTGAAAAAAAAAAAAAAGGTTTCGACACGAACTGCAGCCAGATAGGATAATCACTAGTCTCCCCCATAGCCGCTTTCAGTGTCGTCAGCGGCTGTGGGGGAGACTAGATAATCACAGGAGCTTGGTGAAACTTTCAAGTGGTGAACAATAAAAGATTCATCTATCAATAGTGATCAAGCGGTTCAAACATATATAAGATATAATTATTTCAATCAAGCTAGTCACCAAAACATATACGTTTCATTTGGATTTAGAAATATTTCATGTAACCAACAAGTAGAGTTTATAACAAACTGCTACTTGAGGTTGCTTACAGGAATCTGGGTCGCCTTTGTGCCGCTACGTCACCCGTGCTTCCCAATTGTGATCAACTGCGCATGTTCGAAACGTGTCAAATATATCTACCCATAATCCTTGCCGGTCTCATCTATGTAGCTCTTTAGGTGACTATGAAGTTGAATAAGAATATATTGGCAAATGAACAAATATAATTATATTCACTTAGTAGCTATTCACAATGAAAACATACTTTTATAAATCGGTGAATCGAGGAAGCCAAAACAAATAGAGAAATCGATGGCAGAAAAATAGGGCCTAAAAATATATCGTTTTATACATCCATATTTGGTCGAGAGGAGCAGGAAAAGGAAACTATCTTCATAAGCTGTAATTGGCTGAAAGGTTTTTTATTAAGGTCATATATTGAAGTTTCATAGTGAAAAAGATATTGGGTGAAAATAAAGAAAAGAGATTGGAAAAAAAGGCTCAATTTTCGGTCTCTTTCTCTTTCTCGTCAGTTCTCTCTCGATCCCCCATATCCTTTTCCCTTTGGATCTGAATATGAAGTCCCATATCAAAAATAAAAAATTCCCATTTTTTTAGATATGTTTTCATTACCACAAAGAATGATCAATGTACGGTAAATAATGTAATAAAGTGCGGAAATGAGCCTAGAGGTCGCTAGAGGTAATCCGGAGTAAAAACACTGACTGAAAAGTACATGATCGAAATATCACACTTAGAAAGAAATGATCTTCCGCCGAAAGAATATGCAAACACAATATAAAGTTGGACTTCTTAGTGGCTGTCAATATCAAAGAAAGATTTTCAACGCTGACCATTCACCAGCGGTCTGGCACTGAAGCTCTCCTAGCCAGGAACAAAATCTGAGCAGCACGATAGAAGGCTTAACAATAARTCTCTGTGCATGGACTTTATCTAATTTTATTTATTTTCTAATGTGTAGAAATTTTATTTTTTGGTAAAGAGAATGCGTGCCATTGATCTTGCAGTTCGGTGCATTGGCTGGTATCTCTGTAGTTAACATTTTTTTATGTTGCTATTTTTGTTTAGTTTGACATTATTTATATTATATCATCTTTCATAATATTTGTGTACTGATTATTATCTATGATAATAAAAAGTTCTGCACTTTTCAGCTATTTCAGCTTTCCGCTGTTTCCGTTTCAGCTTTTTAACGCGACCCCAGTAGAGCGTATACAGGTGACAAATCAACATTCCCATCTTCTTTGATGCTTCTTATGACGCAAGACGAAATGTCCTGTAGATGTCGAGTAACGAATTATACTGAATAATCTTTTACAAAAGATCATATGGTTCCCTTGTCTTACATAACGAGATTAGAGTGATTTAGAGATATAATTTAGATTTCGAGTTTCAAATCAACTTACCAATCATGTCATTATATACTCTGAACCAATCAGCAAGCGAGAAGGTCGAGGACGCATAGGTTTGGCTAACTACATCTTTCGGTCCAAAAATTGCTTTCTTTAATAATTACGCTGGTAACTTTTTCTGTGAAGATGAAAAGTCATTGTATGTTATAAGAATATAGTTAGACTTAAACTGTTGTCAAAAGGAGACGTTTTTTTCTCCTCTATCATAAAAGATATATGTTGAACGGACTCAATATGGTGAGTACCTTGTGTGAAAAGAGTTATATTGTCTTATCCTGACTACCAAATGTCTATCCTTAAGGTGTGTTCTGTTAGAATCGAACAATCTTTCTTTTGAAAATATACATGTGCGGTGCCGTAACGGTAGTGAGTGTACTCTAGGGGTCTTTTTGAAGTTAAGTGGCTTAGCTTTGATCTGATAGTTTGATTCAGTTGCCTGACGAAATTATAATTGAAGAATTTATGTTGTCTCTTTGTCAAGATATCGTTAAACCTTTTTTACTTACTACAAGCCTGCCTTTTCGTACCTATTGTTTGCTTACTCTTGTGGGTATAGCTTTCGTTTTTTAGTTCAGTTAGCTTGTATTAATCTTATAATAATAWTAATAATAATAATAATAATAACAATAACAATAACAATAACAATAATAATAATAATAATGATGATGATGATGATGATTAATATTAATATAATATTAATAATATTAATATTAATTTTATTTTTATAATGATATTAATGATATTAATAATATTAATATTAATCTTTATCATCATCATCATCATCATCGTCGTCATCGTAATCATGATAACCACCGTTATCATCATTGACATCATCCTCATCATCATCATCATCATGCATATGATGATGATAATGATAATACTGAATATCAGTGTTCTAGCCTGTTCTGTATCTTTGTCTTTGTTGCTTGCAGGTGTAAATACTCAAAACCTATCCCCACATTATGGAAAACACGACAAATGTGCTAACAAACAACACAGGAAGCCCAACATGTGCAGTTGCAAAACCCTTGACAGCTTACGAGAAGTGGGCTTCTGTTGCTTTCTATATCTTCATCATCCTTTTTGATTTGGTTGGAAATTCTCTTGTAATTATTATTGTGCAAAGGTACGTGGTCTGGTATTTTTAGGTTTTTTAATATATTTTATGTAATCGATATTTCTCATTCTAATACTAGTACTTGCTTTTAACGAGCTCTGTCAGCCATTCCGAGGTGGAGGAAAAAACTGGGTCGAGTTGACATTGAAGTGCATTGTGGGAATTTTTATAGAGGACGAAATAGACGCCATCTTCTTAGAATCGAAATACATACCCTAAAACAGCCGTGGAATATCCCATGAGGCACTTGTATTATACAACAGAATATATCACAACTTTCCCGTATTTCTGATTGGCTGTATTTTTTAAGGGCATACAGAGACTGTGTGAGCGCTGTGCATTTATCATTATTATCACTAACCCTATTGCTTCTTAATTAGAAGAATTTTCCATTCCTCAGAAATCAGCGCATGAAGAACGCTACAAACTATCTTATCGTGAATATGTCAGTCACCGAGATATTATCCACGTTAATCAACCTCAACATGTCTATGGCGGCGTTTATCATTTACCCAGACTACCCCCCCTACGTCAATGACATCTTTGCCTTAATTTTATGCAAGACATTGGCTTTCATGGATGGTCTAACACATTCTTTGTCCACTTTGTCGCTCACTGTTATTGCCTTTGATCGCTTCTTTGCTGTCAAGTATCCGCTGAAACGAATCATTACACGTGGACGCGCAAAGAAAATCATTGCTTTGATTTGGCTGCTGTCTTGTATTGCTTCATCACCACTTCTGTACGCTTCTTCGTACGAAAATAAAAACCAAAGGCTATCATGTCCACGAAAATGGGGGCCTTTTCCTGTGAATTCGTATTTGATATACGTTGTGACGCACCTCGTTCTGTTCTACATCATACCGCTGGCAGTCATGGGTGTCTTGTATTCTGTTACCGTATACAAGCTCTGGTCCCGTCGTATCCCTGGCAACGTAACAGCAGCCAATCAGCGAGTAGAACAACACGCTAAAACCAATGTCCTCAAGATGTGCATAACTGTGGTGGTGGTGTTTGCACTTTGTTGGCTTCCTCTGTTCCTCACTCACGTCATCTTAGAATCGAAAGTTCTAGAATGTGGTGTACAACCAGCAGTATACAGTGCTATTGTCTTCCTGGCGCACACGTATTACGCAATCAACCCATACATCTACTTTGCCTTCAGTAAGGATTATCGTAGAGGTCTACGCCATATTTTCCGACCTTTGATTGACATGTGTGGAAGCAAGCAAGACCGAGACTATCTGCGCAGGTCACACGTAATGGATATGAGCGTGAGCCCAAGAACCGATTTAACTGAGAGTGGAATCGAGGTTATTAGCTTTCGTAGCTTGGGAACCAAAGATATCATTTGCTGAAGTGTGAGTACGGTCACAGTACGGAATAAAAATCATCCTTTAAACCAATCACAGCGCGAGAAATAATATACTGCTCATCCAACTAGAATGCTATGACAAACAGTAAAAACGACTTTAGTAAATATGACAGCGATTCTAGCAAATACGACAATATCAATAATGACTAAATCTGAAAAAAGGACTCTTCTGATGAATCTGCAAACGACTCTAGTGAGATTTTTATGAAGATTAAGTTTTAGTTTTTAATGGAGGAGATTCAAACCCGACAACCTGTGGTGCCTCAGTTGTTGTTGTAATAGTGTAGCGTAATTCTCTCATGCATACGTACAAAGTTAGCGAGTTTTTCTCAACTGTCTTACGATTTTGAGCATTGGGTTAGGGTTGCTATGAACCAATCAAAAATAGATAAAACATTTCAGCCAATCATAGTAATGAAAAACGTCAGTTAGCGATACAATAAATAGCATTAACAGTCAAGCAAATCATCTTGATTAAAGAAATCGAGCGGTGCAGCCTGGGAACAGTTTACTGACAAATCTTTCATTCAACTTAGTGTCTCAGTATTTTCTCTCTAAATTACCGCTGTTTGTATTACTACGCGGCCACCCCAGACACAAATCGAGTCGTGTAGTTTGCAATAGACTGCCGTCAATCAAACACCTCATTCTACTTGGATGTACTCAAACTCTTTGCAATCGCTTTCGGAGCTTTCCTTCGTGATATCTGACTGAGAAAGTTTGATAGAAAAGCAATGTTGTTTTTTTTGATCATATGTTATGTTACTGACTTTCTACCCAAAAGCGTGGCCTAGCCTCCGCACAACAAATGAGTGCCCAATCCCCACTCGTTCGTTTCTGTCAAGGGCAAATATAGTTGAGCCTGCAGTCCAATACTTTTCTTTTCTGCAATAAAAGATAGACATAACCGCTGATCGTAGTGATAGTTCAGACCGCCTAGACTACGTCTGTTCATGAATATATTACTTGTGAAATGATTGATTTGTTTTCATTTCCATTCACTTTATTTCTCTTATACTTAATAAATATATCCGTTACTCTTATTTATGACATGAATGATATCGTTACGTTAATAGGGCGGTTCTTTATTCGTTTTTCTCATCTTAAAATTAACAAGTGCAAGTGTTTTGAGTCAAATCAGTTGCAAGAACGGTTTGTGTTAATTAGCTAACCACAGCAACGAGTGTCTTTTTATTGACCAATATAAAAGCATTGATGGACGGACGGACGGACGGACGGACGGACGGA